TTGTTTCTGTTCCAGAACCAGTTAATGTGGGTTTGGACCAATGTTCTGCTGGAATTCCTGCTTCTGGTCGGGTTTTAACCACATCACTGCTGATTCCAGGGGGAAATTGCAGCAGCAGGAGTAGCAGTGAGACGTCCCCACAGCATGATGCCAACACCACCGTGTTTAATTCAGTGATGCATCTGATTCTAACAAGCTTTCCAGCTCTGGCATGCAGCTCTTTGGACCCTACAATGGCTCTTAATACTGTCTGAACGATGAAAACAACCAACTAATGGCTTGGAATAAAGTCTATTAATAAATAACATTCTGAGGAGTTTTAAAGAATATTTTACACAATAGTGTGACATTAAAGAATCAGGAATAGGTTTTTAGATCAATATTTCTTGTCATTAAGTTGAAAACTGTTATGTTTTATTAAAACAATCATCCTATTCAAGAAAATCAATGCTTCCTCTTCATTAAATGTTTGTTTTCTCCCTATTTGAACCATTTTGATCGGATAAACCCAGTTTTTCCAGAAGCAGAATATTTCCCTGCTGATGTGAAGTTCTCAGAAACTCAAATATTATAAACTTGGTTTTAAAGAGTTATAAACTAAAAATACAAACTGTTTGTTCAATAAAACGGTTGCAGATTTCCTGCATCAGATCTTTAACACCAACCTAAATAGTTTTATTTAAAGATCTTGTAGTATTATGGTCCTGAAGGAAAACAGAAGTGATATTTATGGAACAAACTGACCTTTACGAATTTCACAGAACCAAACTGTTTCTGAACCGGTCTGCAGCAGCTCCAGGTTAAACCTTCTGTCTGGATTCTCAATGAACACCTCGTAGAAGTTTGGATCCTGGCTGACGTGCCTCAGAGTTATTTGCTGTGAGGAAACATGAAAAACAAGCTGGTCTGACTCAGCTGGACTAGAACCAGTCCAAAAGGTTCCCAGAACCTTTTAGTAGCAGAAGCACTTTGGTGCTTTGGTAATAAAATCTAATCAGCAGAATCAAAGTGGACCTAGAATGAACACCACATTTCTCAGAGCAGGGTCAAACGGTACCGGGGGCTGAATGTGGGCGGTCTCTACGGAAGCCTTGAGGGTGAAACCACAGTCCATCTTCAGACGCTGGTCTGGGTGGGGCTTCTTGATTGCTTCATACCCCCCAGAGGTTTCATCTTTGTAGATCGACTGAAAGGACAGCAAACAGTCCAGATGTTTCTCCAAGAAGAGCAAAGACAGAAATAACTGGTCACAGCAGAGTCCTCTCTCTAGGTAAGGGAAGCCCATCTTTGGATTTATGGCACCAAATCTAAAAGGCGGATTCCAGCAAGTTCAAATACGTCTGAAAAGACGTAAATCAGTCTTTTAATCAGAGTTCTGCCCTTTGTTTAAGTTTATATTTAGTTTCCATGTTATTCTGTGTCTTTGTTTTCTGTCAGTTTGGTATTTCTTTAGTTACTCTCTGCTGCCCCCTTGTGTTTGTTTCCTTTCCCATTGGCTCCCTTCTAGTTAGTTCTACTCACACCTGCTCCATATCTATACACCACCTCTGCAGTCACTCAGTGCTGGTTTCTCGTTGTTTTGTAGTTCTATCGTCTTCTTGCTCCCCTCGCCTGTTCTCCTTCAGGTTATCAGCATTTTGTGTTTTGAATTTTTGCCTCTGTTGCCTTGGAAAATTAATTCAATCTTCAAAGCTCCCCTCTGCATTTGGGTCGTCAAAAACCTCCTATTAACCTTGACACTTTTGTTTGTTCTGAATCAAATAGAAATGCTTTAAGCAGAAGTTTTCCTGCTTCTACTAGATGTTCAGGATCCTCTGAATATTGTGCAGAAGGAGATTAATGGAGGGACTTTAGTTGAGACAGATTTGATCTCCAAATGATGTAAAATTGTTGATAAATGAAGGACTTGATGATGAAATAAATAAGCACCTGTTTCAGAGCAGGATCCGGCAGGATCAGGTAAACGTGCAGCTTGAGGAACGGCTTGTTGGGCTGATAGTATATTAATGTGTTACAGCAGTTGATTCGTGGAGAGAAGAAGATGTTTAGAAGACATCCCAACAAGGAGAAAGCTGGTTCTGTTAATGTGACATGAGTCTCTGTGACCTGGGCCACTTTTTCCAGGACATCTCCATAGTCTGTTACATGCAGGACAGCAAAGTTGTCCAATAACTCAGGAACATCTTCTGCAAACACAGCAGCAACAGATGCTCAGTGAAAATGATCTGAATGTGTCCTGAAAAGCTTTTCCCTTAAAGTTCTCCTACCGATGTAGACCCAGTGAGGCAGCTGGACCTCCAGCATCGTCCCAGTAGAGACAGTGATGTCCATTAAAGGACCTGCAGGCCTGTATCCTCTGCTCTCCATCCTCTCCATGTGGCCATCCCACGAGCAGAACCGGTACCTAAAGGCCACCTTTTCCTGGCAGAACCAACGCAGACCAGAGACGCTGCATTCAAAGCGGCCCGCTTCAGACCGGAGGCTGGGAAACACATTTGATTTCATTAGAAGTTAAATGCTAATCAGTCAGTCAACCAGCCCATCAGCCAGTCAGCCCATCAGCCAGTCAGTCAGCCAATCAGGCAATCTGCATCGATGGATTCTTGCTTGTATTCCAGCTCCCTCCCAAAGTCTAACAATTCATGGCTCGAAAATGACCTCAGCTGGGAATACTATAAATGACTGACTGACTGACTGACTGACTGGCTAGCCGACTAACTAACTTAGTGGCTGACAGACTGATCGGCTGACTGACCGATTGAGTGACTGAGATTCCTTGTGTTGAAGCAGAGGAGCGTTGTTTATACCTGTATGTTGGAGCATCTCGTGGACCTTTTACTTTCACCTCAGGTTTAAGTTTAATCCATCTTCTGTAGTCCTAAAATAAACAAAGGCTTTTCAGCCCAGTCTTAATCATTTACCGTCTCTTAAAAAATGAAATAAAAAGAATAATCAAACATTAATAAATTACCTTGGCTACTTTGTTCTTTATCATATGATCTCCTAGAAGCTCTGTTAGAGAAAAACAAACGTTAATTTACAGCTAAGAATAAGCTAATAACTTCTTATATAAAGTGTGTTGATTTTGTTTTCAAAATCATAAATTCAGGAAATATAGGTATGCAAAATGAAACTGTGAAATAAAGAAATATTTACACCTACATAGCAACAGGGGACTCTTTGGCTGTATGAAAAATTGATTGATGATGGGTTTAAATGTCCCTGATGTCACCGGAACTACTCCCCTTTGAAGACACACCCCTCCAGCAGAGCTTTTAAAAGACCAGCTACTATCGTTCGACTTCCTGTTCTGCTAAAGTAGTGACCAAATCCCTCGTGAGAGGTCTGTGCTAACTGGACCCATGCAGACTGAGATTTAGGATCTGATGAATGCTGCGGCTACCAGCTAATCGCTGTAGCTAAAGGGAGACGTCCCAGCTACCATGAGTGATAAAATTAACACCCCCTGCAAAGTTGCTTCTTATTATTCCATCTAAATCTGTTTGAGATTAGCTGTTGGACGAACTGACAAGACCGGGACCGGACCGAGCCGAAGGCCTTCACTCCATCGAACCAAAACAGTAACACCATCCTTCCCCCCTAGTTTCCATCTGATCCTTAATCAGTGCTCTGCTTTGCTGAACCAGGTAGAATAGATAGTCATGTTTGTGTTTTACCGAAATAAGCTGTCTGATTTAAGTGCTGATAATTTTAAGAGTTTTAACTGAATGCTAATGTTATCTGCAGACTGAACGAGCCATGTAGGCCTGTAGAAACTGCTGCAGTGGACTGGCCAGCATCGCTAGCTCCCAGCTACCTCATGCTAAACACATTGTAGAGGCCGCAGGGTGGGCTAACCCTTTCTTTGTTAGCTTTGTTAGCTAAGCTAACCCATTTCTCTGTCAGCCTCATTGCTGTTTAATTCATTATTCATTTTCACCGTAAAACCGAATGAACTTCACTGTTTTTACTGCATTTAACATCTCTGCGTCAGGGTTTAATCACATTTATCTGCTGCTATTTTAAAGAACCCTTTCAATGCATTAAGCTTAAAACTCAAACATCCCTCAAACTTGAAACAGATTTTTTAAACCCTTCTTCCCCTTTTAAAAGCTGACAGATAAACTGTATAATCAAACTTAGCTTTCAAGCCTATAGTTAAAAAAATCAACACTCTACAAATATCCCTTAAATACAATTTTTCCACAACAACAAAGAAAAGACAGAAGACTCCTCAGAAAAGGAATAGCTGTAGTTCAAAGAGCAACAACTAGGGGAGGGAAATGCTTTCACCTGGGAAATGGAAAGTGTGCTGACACCTTCACGCCAACAAGTGGCGCAAAGGAGCATTACACAGATTGGTCACTAGGGGGAAACAATCCTTTACCTGATAACAGTTTGGCTTAGTTGTAATAACACTGCTCAGTGCCCAGAGGGAGCCAGAGGACACTTAACACAGAGCAACAACTAGAGGGGAGCAAAGGTTCCTGTCTAGAAGCTTTCTGTAGCAGCAAAATACTGAACACCAGATGGGGGTTTGTTGTTATCCTCTTAGAAATCTGGGCTGCACTCAATTCACACTTAGTTCTAACATCTCTTTCAGAATAACAGCAACTACAGAAAAACAACCGGCTGAAGTTTGGATTATCGATGCCTGGACTGTTGGGTGTGAATTAACTCCCTTTTAATTTGATCTAAAAGCAACTAAACTCTGCGGCTGCAACAACAATAAACACGCAAGGCTTATTCCAGCAGGGGGGGTTAGTGTTGTAGCAATTTTAACCCAGAAAGCAGCTAAACAGTTTTAAATGTTTTATTTACACAGTGAATGTTTCATCTCAGGCCACCCATGGCATAAGCCAATAAATCTTGTGAGAGTTTACCAGAAGATTATGAATATATTAAATAACTAGACCTGGAAGTTAATGTTAATTAATAGGTCATTAAAATCAAAGGTAAAACTAAAGAATTATTATCAGCTGAATGATTATAACTGTCATTTGCTTACTAACCAGGGTTTTTAGCATCTTTCCTAAAAGCTTGAACTCCTGAATCCGACTAAAAATCCAGTTGTCTTTCAGCAATTTAGTCATTTAGACTGTGGCTATCAGCAAAGTTATTAATCACCAACTAAAGAAATGTGTCTCTGCTGCTGAAAGAAGAGTGAATTCAACCTGAGTGATAAATCGTTCACTGTGTAAAATAAACACAAAAGACCACGGGTTACATTTCAAAGGTACCTTTATTAGCTAAAATCACGCAGTATTATATCTAATAACTGAGTAGACACTAAACACTCCTGAAAATAAGCAAAAATAAACAAATATTCTGAGGGAATATCCAAACACTGAAACTGTCTTTTGTCTGTTAGTTATGGTTTGATGGTTGTTTCACACACAAATTATTGCATTCAGCTAATTCAACTTTCTGAAAGGTTAGCGTTCCAATCATCCATCAGAAGCTTCTTAATTCAATTCTATTCAGTTTATTTCTATAGCTCCAATTCACATCATGTCATCTCAGGTTTATAGATCCAGATCAACCAGATCATCCAGTCAGATTGATTCAAAGTTTTCTATCTAAGGAAAACCAGCTGATTGCATCGACTCATTGACTCTTCAGCAATCCCTCACACTAACCATGCTTGTAGCGACCGTGGAGAGGAAAAACTCCCTTTGAGGAGGCTGAGGCCATGGGATTAAGCCTGTAACAAAAGTAAAAAGGTATTTTCTTTTCCTCCAAAT